GGCTGGCTTCTGTTCCACCCGACCGTCTCCTGGATGCAGTGCGTGAGTGCTTCTCATGCATGGAGAATGTTGCCCTGTGACAGGCCACGCCGAGTTTGTCCCCTCGCCAGTCAGTCGGAGGACACCGGGCTGCTCTGCGACGGGGGCGCGTGCGGCTGGGGGGAGCAGGCCCCGAGCGTCCCCGTGGCCGGGGCTCCAGGTGACTCACAGTCTTGACGCCATGGCTGGTGTGCTGTGGCCACGTCCCTTCTCTGCTGGACTCCCGTCCTTGCCTCCTCCACGTAGCCAGCACAGCAGGGCAGCACGGGGACCCACAGTGTGGCAGCAGCAGTTAGGACCAGGGGCCTGGCTCCCAGCCCTCACCTGACCCTGAGGACGCCCAGCTGCCATCTCTGTCCTGGACACCAAAGCCCCTCCCCACAGGGAGGGAATCTGGGGACAGCGCCCTGTCCCTGGGGCTCCAGCCTGCGTTCCCTAGGGGCCTGGAATCCCACCAGACCCCGCTGGGCTCCCATCCCAGGAAAACTGAAGCCCTGTTAGGGCCTGAGCTGAGCCAGGAGGACTCCCTGGTGACAGCTGGTCCCCATGCTCCGTCCCAGGGAGTGGATCACTCCGTCCTGGGTTTAAGAGATGCTCAGAGGACGCCTCTGCCTCAGCCAGCTGTGAGGGGCCCGCAGACGCAGACCTAGGGCTGGCCTTCTAGAAGCAACCATCCAGGTGGGGTTGGGGCTAACAGCAACCTGAATCATGATTTAATAACACTGCCTGTCACGTGGCCACTTGAGAGGTAGGAAATGCAGGTTCAGAGAGGGCAAGGGACTTGTCCAAGACCACACAGCTGCAAAGACTCAAACCCAAGTCCCAAACCAGCTTATGACTAAATGTAGGCTGTGGAGCCGTGAAAACAAGAGCCGCTGAGCCTCGGGTGGCCCTGAGGCCTTGTGAACTCACCAGGTGCTCACTGCAATGGCGCCATGATCCCCCGTTTTACAGGTGGGGAAACTGAGGCACAGAGGGCGTAACTGACCCGTGGAAGCTCCCTGGGCAGGGAGTGTGGCCCCGACTCTATGGGCTTCAGTGGGTCTGGAAGAGGAAGACGTTCTGCTGCCCAGAGGGCTTGGCACGGAGCCCCCGCTGGGTGGCTGCACTTCCCACAGGATGCAGGGCACAGAGCTGGGGCCTGGGGGCCCTGAGCCCCAACGCGACCCCCCAGCAGGCCCCCTGGGCATCTGGGCTGCGGAGAGGGCGGGAGGACGCGTTCTCAGGTTCCAAGGGGGGGGGGGGCTGCCTTAGAAAAACAGGCTCCAAGATGGGACAATGAGCTGGGTGCATAATTCATGCGTCTGTCACAGAACATCAGTCCTGGGCCTTCCCCGAGTGACCTGGGGTTAGAAACTGGAGCAGGCTCCCCGCAGCCTCGGAGGAAAACAGGTCCTCCCGAGTCTTAAAGGGACACGCTCTGCTCCCGGAGTCCGCGCCTTGCACACAGGCGCCCCCTTCCAGGAGTCAGAGACGGGAGCAGCTCCCAAAGGGCTCAGCCGAAGGCCACTGGCTGCCCACAAGACCCGACCCCCTCTGTGCCCAGCCGGTGCCAACAGCTCTACACGCCCCCACGCTGCCACCTGTGAGGGGCTGCCCCTGGCACGTCCAGGGTCCCTGGGCCTTGGTACTCTCGGCTTTTCAGGCCGGTGCTTCTGGGCATCGGTGGATATCGCACAGCACCCTGAGCCACCGGCCCAGGTCAGTAGCACCCTGCCCCCAGCTGTGACAACCGAAAGTTTCTGCAGAAATTGCTAAGTGTCCCCTAGGGGTCAAAATCGTTCCCAGCTGAGAATCACGGGATGCAGCCTTCCGATGCTCCAGGTCACCCAGCCAAGGAGGTCAGAACTGGGGCCAGCCGCAGGGCCTGCTCCCCTGCCGTCTGCTCGGGAGCTCCAGAGTCTGCCACCACAAGTTTATTCCAGGGACCACTCATTCATTTTGATGGGTATTTAGTGCATGAATCAATAGCATGAAAAATCAGCCATTTGCATATATATGCATACTATTAAGGCTAAACTACCGCCTGGAAGGTAGATGGGGGTCTTGTTTTGTTTTGCTATTCACCTTCACCTTTAGGGAAAGAGTGGTCCACGGAGCGGAAGGACACACGCAGTGAGGTACCCCCGACAGGGACTATCTGTTTAGAGGCGCGCATATTCGTAAGGAAAACTATGCACAAAAGCAAAAGGAAAAGAAACTCCTTACAGCAATTGCCTCTGGGGTGGAGGGGGGACACCAGGGGGTATCAGCGTCACTGCTACCGGCTCCTATCCCCAACTTGGTGGTGGCTTCATTAGTGTCAGACGCTACATGTGAAGCGGGGCTGCTCTCGTATGTAACAAAGATTTCATTTTACAGTGATCACAAATTTTTTTCTTTCAATGGATGCAAATCAGGACACTAGGACTCAAAAGCTCGTTGTTCTGAAAACAGAGGACACTTTGGGGGTAACTGTAGCGAGAGTGCAAAAGCGGGGGAGGCCCGAGGCTGGGGGAGCGCCCCGGCAGCGCACCCCACCTTCAGAGCCAGCTGTTCTGCGCAGGCCCAGAGCTCCACCCGGGGCATCCCTAACCCAGGCAGGGACGTCCCCTTCCAGGTGGAGGGCTGAAGCCTGGCCCTGGCCTTCCCACTTGCGCCTCCATGGACTTGTGCGATTAACCTCTGTCGTGGGTCACTGCCTGAGCAGGCTCTGGGCGCCGAGGTAAACCTCAGAACCAACTCACGTCCCCAGTGCCCACAGGTTCTGGGCAGCAGCAGGGACGTGTGTGGTGAGTGTCCCCAGGTATGGCAAATGATGCCCACCCTGAGGACGGAGGGGCCGTCCCTGCCTAGGGAAAGCAGGGGCGACCTCAGAGGGGAGGAGCCTGGGCTGGGTTTTAAATGATGGGTCCGACGGAATTCCCCGACAGAGGCCAGAGGCCCCGACTCGCAGAACCTACCCACAGAGGCACGTGGCAAGGCTTGGGGACCTGTGGCAGGGGAGGCCAGGGAAAGGGGTCAGAGGCAACAGGAAGCCATGCATCCTTCCTGGGGCCAGAGACCTCATGCTCACCCACGCTGGGACAGGTTTACGTACAGGGTACAGCAGGCCACTCAGAGGCCACTCAGAGGCTGGCAGTGGGGGCCAATGCACCGCTCACGCGTGGACACGTCTGTCCACACAGCAGCTCTCTGGGGCATGTATGGTTGTGACCATCCCATTTTGCAGATGAGAAAACTGAGGCTTTTCGAGGTTAAATAGCTTGTCCAAGGTAAGGCAGTGGCAGAGCTGGGGCTTGGGAAGCCAAGGTAGGCAGGCACCAGTGCCCGTGCTCCTAACTGCTGCCCACCCGGCCTCTTACGTTGCTCCTGTGGCCCCACTGCCCCTCCTCTGCCTCTTGCCTTCCTTCTCTGGTGTCTCCTGGAAGAAGGTTGGGCTTTCTCCAATTTTTTGTGCCCTCCCTGACCCCTGTAGCTTGGGACACACTTGCTTGGGGCATGGGCTTCTCCTGACGCTGGTTCAGTTCTAGATTCTACCTGACCATCCTGTCCAAAGGTCACCCTTCTGTCACTCACACCCCTCCCGCATCCCCGAGTACAGATTCTCAGAGACAGGTTGGCTGAGCCCTGGGTACTGGCCGGCTCAGCCTGGATCCTCTGCCACCCTGGGCTGACCAGCGCTAGGCAGGAGGAAGCAGCCAAGCCTGGCAGCAGGGCCCGTCCCTTCAGTTGGTCAAGGGAGGGTGACTCTCCAAAAAGAGGGCGGGTGAGCGGCCCAGGAGGCATGCTCAGGGTTTGGGTCTTGCCCAAGAGTCCTGGAGACTCACTCAGCCGAGAAGTAATGTGACTGAATTTGTATTTTTTAAAAAAGACCCTAGAGCAGTCCCTCCCACCACCCACAGCCTGGATTCCATTTCCATTCCCACAAACATCCACTGAGACTCCTTTGGACCAAACACTCTTCTTTTGTGTGTGTGTGAATGTAGGGGGGCGTGGGGAACCAGAGATTGATCCCAGGGGCACTCGACCACTGAGCCACATCCCAGTCCTTTTTTTATTTTTTATTTTGAGACAGGGTCTTGCTAAGTTGCTGAGGCTGGCTTTGAACTTGCCATCCTCCTGCCTCAGCCTCCTGAGCCACTGGGATTATAGGTGTGTGCCACTATAACAGTCCCAAGCCCTGTTCTTGCTGCAGGGGATACAGTGGCCGTTAAGACAAGGTCCTTAGTCCCAGCAGTTCATAGTCCAACCAAGAGTTAATAATGTGGATCCAGGATGTCTGGCCTCCTTGAAAACCACCTGCTAAATTTCATGTTTGAGCATCTTTCTAGCCAAGGGGGTCTTTTGCTTTTGTCTGACCTTTAACCTAGCCTTGAGAGCTCATGCTCTGGGGTCAGACTGACCTGGGTTAAAATTCCGTCTCTGCCACTTGCTAGATGCCACTTTCTAGTTTCCCCATTTGGTCAATGGAGTGAATATTATTTAATTGGGTTACTGTACAAATGGGGACAGTATCACGTGGCAAGTGTCTGACACACGCACCCACAAAGGGCAACTCCCAGTATCATTGGCACCAGGCCACACAAGCAGCGCCCACCCAGGAATCCCATAAACCACCTGTCTAGCTCAGGAGCCAGGTCCAGACCACTGCCTATTTTTAAATAAAGTTTTATTGAAACACGACTGTGCGCATTTGTCTCTGTGCTGTCCCAGCTGCTCTCATGCCACACCTGCAGAGTCCAGTGGTGGCCAGAGAGGAGGCAGGGGTGGCCCCTGGTGTCCCGGTCAGCTGAGCTCCTTTCAGACCTCTGGCTCTCCATTTTCACACCCGGAGGATAAATGACTTGAGTGAGTCCTCTTTCGGGCTCAAGACTCCATCATTAAGTGACAAGCGGGTGGGGAAAGCTCGCAGGCCCTGCAGACACCAGGGTCACCGTGACCTTCGGTCGTGCTAACTCGCTCCTCCCTTCTCCTCGCAGATCCTGGCCATCATCTCCATCATGTTCATCGTCCTCTCCACCATCGCCCTGTCCCTCAACACGCTGCCCGAGCTGCAGAGCCTCGATGAGTTTGGCCAGAGCACGGACAACCCGCAGCTGGCCCACGTGGAGGCCGTGTGCATCGCGTGGTTCACCATGGAGTACCTGCTCCGCTTCCTGTCCTCGCCCAAGAAGTGGAAGTTCTTCAAGGGCCCCCTCAACGCCATCGACCTGCTGGCCATCCTGCCCTACTACGTCACCATCTTCCTCACCGAGTCCAACAAGAGCGTGCTGCAGTTCCAGAACGTGCGCCGCGTGGTCCAGATCTTCCGCATCATGCGCATTCTCCGCATCCTGAAGCTCGCGCGCCACTCCACCGGCCTCCAGTCCCTGGGCTTCACCCTGCGCCGGAGCTACAACGAGCTGGGCCTGCTCATCCTCTTCCTCGCCATGGGCATCATGATCTTCTCCAGCCTCGTCTTCTTTGCTGAGAAGGACGAGGACGACACCAAGTTCAAAAGCATCCCGGCCTCTTTCTGGTGGGCCACCATCACCATGACGACTGTCGGGTACGGAGACATCTATCCCAAGACTCTCCTGGGGAAGATAGTGGGGGGACTTTGCTGCATCGCCGGGGTCCTGGTGATCGCTCTTCCCATCCCCATCATCGTCAACAACTTCTCCGAGTTCTACAAGGAGCAGAAGAGGCAGGAGAAAGCCATCAAGCGAAGAGAGGCTCTGGAGAGGGCCAAGAGGAATGGCAGCATCGTATCCATGAACATGAAGGACGCTTTTGCCAGGAGCATTGAGATGATGGACATCGTGATTGAGAAAAATGGAGATAAGAAGGATAAACTCCAAGACAACCACTTGTCTCCCAACAAGTGGAAATGGACAAAGAGGACACTGTCCGAAACCAGCTCCAGTAAGTCCTTTGAAACCAAGGAGCAGGGATCCCCTGAGAAGGCCAGATCGTCTTCTAGTCCTCAGCACCTGAATGTCCAGCAGCTGGAAGACATGTACAATAAGATGGCCAAGACCCAGTCCCAACCCATCCTCACTACCAAGGAGTCTGCAACACAGAGCAAACCAAAGGAAGAACTTGAAATGGAGAGTATCCCCAGCCCCGTAGCCCCTCTGCCCACGCGCACGGAAGGGGTCATTGACATGCGCAGCATGTCGAGCATCGACAGCTTCATCAGCTGTGCCACAGACTTCCCCGAGGCCACCAGGTTCTCCCACAGTCCTCTGGCTTCACTGCCCATCAAGGCTGGGGGCAGCATGGCTCCAGAGGTGGGCTGGCGGGGAGCCCTGGGGGCCAGCGGGGGCCGGCTGGGGGAGGCCAACTCCACCCCCGACGGCAGCCACTCCTCGAGCTTCCTCATCGAGAGCCCCAAGAGCTCCATGAAGACCAACAACCCCCTGAAGCTCCGAGCACTCAAAGTCAACTTCATGGAGGGGGACCCCAGTCCCCTGCTCCCCGTTCTGGGGATGTACCCCGACCCTCTTAGGAACAGGGGGGGCGCTGCGGCCGCTGTCGCAGGACTGGAGCGCGCCACCCTCCTGGACAAGCCCGTGCTGAGCCCAGAGTCCTCCGTCTACACCACGGCAAGTGCTAGGACGCCCCCCAGGTCGCCCGAGAAACCCACAGCAATAGCATTCAGCTTCGAAGCCGGCGTCCACCAGTACATCGACGCCGACACGGACGACGAGGGGCAGCTGCTCTACAGCGTGGACTCCAGCCCTCCCAGGAGCCTCCACGGGGGCACCAGTCCCAAGCTCAGCCTGGGCCCCAGAGCGGACAAGAACCACCTCGAGAGCTCCCCGGTGCCTACCTCCCCCAAGTTCCTTCCGCAGAACTGCCTTTACCCCGCGGAGGCGCTGACTGGAAGGGGCCCCGGGGCCCAGGAGAAGTGCAAACTCGAGAACCACCTCTCCCCCGACGTCCGGGTGCTGCCCGGGGGAGGGGCCCTGGGGAGCAGCAAGGATCAGAGCTTGTGAACTGGCCGCGGAGGCCAGCGTGCAGGTGGGGCCCAGCGGGGAGGGCGGCTGGCTGCTGCCGCAGAGCTCTCCCGGGTGGACTCGGGACAGAGAGTCTCTGCAAAGCCCCCAGGGACTCCAGAGAAGGTCCCCTAAGACCCGGAGAGCCAGGACAGGCCCGTCAGCATGAAACCGGCCATGCCGGGGGGGACAGCGGCTCCCTGTACCAACCCTGCTGCCCTCTGTGGGAGATGACAGGAGCTCACAGCCACCACCACCGCAGCGCCACCTAACTGAGGCCACCCACTCCCCGCTCTTCTCTCGAGGCTGTCCGTCACGGCCTCCGAGGGCAAGTGTCCATCGCCCCGGCTTCAGCGGGAGGAGAAACTAGAACCAGTGGCTGTTGAAAGAGTGGGTTGGCCGATTTGGTATGGGGTGTGGCGGGCCACCTCCAGGCCCACCTGCCCGTCACCTCCTGGATTGTCACCTCCTGGATGGATCCGCTGTTGGAAGGCTACTGAGAAAGCCTGTGTCGCCGGAAAGTCTCCGCGCCGCAAGTCAAGATCCCGGCGCAGACCTCACTCAAAAGACTTCACGGACTTCAGTGTCCCGTCGAGCCTGAGGTTTTGTGTTGAGATGTCATCAGGGTGAGTGGCACCATTTGTACTCAATTTTAATTGCCCCCAGCAATCTGGGAAGGGTTCAGAAGGAGGAACTCAGAGCTTTGGCCTAGGGATATAGGAGGAAGATGCTTCTGTGCTCTCTAGGGTAGACTGGAAAGATATGCAAGTGTCAAATATGCAAAAGAAATAGCTACTCAAAGAGACCGTGTGCTACCGAAGAACAGCATCAAATCCAATTTCTTTTTTTCTTTTCTTTCTTTTTTTTTTTTTTTACCTGCAAAAATGCAAGGGAAAGAACACCCTCATTGAAATGCCTCATCCGGACTCCTGAATGCCTCCTGCTACAGCGGGGAGATCGCCTACTATGATAGAAAGTTCTTTTTGTTTCCTGTTATATTCAAGCTAAAAAAAAAAATGTTAATAAAAAGCACTTTATGTTTTTCAAAAATAGTTCTACCAGGGACAGTGTCCACATCTTGCACTTTAAACAAGCACTATTTCCGGGGGCCACTTGCTGACCCTGTGGTTGGGTTGTGGCCACATGCCCATTCTGGCCACAGTGGGTACCACTGTCGGCCACACCAGAGTCTGTGGCTCCTTCCCTGCCCCTCTGGAGGCTCCTCCCCGCACCCCTCAGGGGGCAGGAGGGGCCAGGGCCTCCCCCAGACTCGAGTACAGGAGACGGGCGCACCTCAGAAGGTCGCAGCGACGGTTGGGCACCGGGTGTTCCACTCCGCTCTCTCTGTCCACCAGCCTTGGGTGTGTTTCAGTGTCTGTCCTGAAAGCTCAGCTGTCCCTCCTGCGGCCACCATGCAGATGGTGCAGACACAAGCAATAAGTCTCCGTGCGCATCCTGAGCGCTCTGCTCTGTTTCTTGCTGTTGGTCCTCTGTCCTAGCTTGATGACCTGGCGTTGTCCTGCCTGCTTTTAGTCCCATGGCGTGGCATTGTTGGCTGTCCCTCAGCGCAGTGACGTTGGGTTGGACCACTGTGGTGTCCGTCTGTCTGTCAGTAACGATGCTGTGTTCCGGTCTGCCCGTCTGCAGCACACGATAGTGCCATGTGGTTCTCTTAATGTGACGTTGGTGGGTGCTGTCCCAGGTCCAGTGGTGTGCTTCTGCCTGTCCTCGGTACAGTGCCAGACATGTGTCTTCCTGGTGGCTCGCCTGTCCTTCACTGGCTGGTCTGCCCACTGTACAACGGCATCACCTACCTGTCAGTACACAAGTATCACAGGGTTGTCCTGCCTGCTCTCCACTCAATGGCACGAGATTGGCCACCTGTCACAGATATGATCATGTAGGATCATTTCCCACTCAAAAATACGTGTTCTCTGCTGTACAGGAACCAATTCAGACCACTTCTCAGCATCCCCAGGGACTGTGGATCCTCCCGAAAGGGAACAGTCCTGTTATCTGCTGATTTAACAAGGAAAAAAAGAACTCAGTTCTTCCTAGGGGTCTTCAGAGCATTCGCACAGCAAGCGCATAGGTCCTGGGGCAGGACAGTGTGAGGCCACCTGGGGCAGGACAGTGTGAGGCCACCCTATGTCGGTTGGCACATTGGAGGCAGGAAAGAGCAGCGCTTCCAAATCCTTCCCTGGGTGTACCTCTGGGGCTGGGCCTGTTGAGGACGACTGGGGGACAGTCCTGGCCGGCATCTTTGTGTCTCTCTCGTTTCCATCACGTTTCTGTCCACCATCAGCACAAATGTGAAAATTCAGGGAAAACAATCAAATGCTTTTTGATAAAAGTAAATAGTTGTGATTTCTGATTCAGATATTTTTAGAGCTGATGCTATCTATAAAAAAAATCAATACCACTAACAATAATATAGTCTATTTTACATATCAGGAGAGCAAACATGTTTAAATATAGCCATATATTGCAAGAGGGAACTCACCACCCCTTCTTTAAACCAAGGCATTTCATGTTGGTTGAAGCAGATGAGGAGTGCACAGATTGGAAAGACCCTTCCTTCCTTCCGTCCTTCCGTCCTTCCTCCCCCCCCCCCCCCCGCCTTTTTTTTAACTAATAACCAATTGGTGCAACTCTCCTTGTAACCAAAGGCCCTTTCTGTCTTGTGTCACGCTGGACCTGGCCCCTCCTCCCTCGTGTGTGTTGTCTGACCTTAAAGTAGCATTTTATTGAGTCACTTTTGAAGGACGAATTCAGAAGTATCATTAAGAACCTACCTTTTCAGGCTGCATAGCCAGAGTCCTATATAGAGTTCTTATAGAAACAGAATCACTGAAATTCAGCATATACTATGCTTAGAGAGTACTCCATTGCAGTTTGGGTTCTCCCCTCCTTGACTCTGTGTGTGTTGTGGGAACACAGCTTCTACCCTGTGCTCAACTCAAAATAGAGTATCGTGACATTCCCCAGCCTTCCCCACCCCCCTCTGCCAAACAAAGGACATACCCAGATTCTGCACATGCATACGCCCACCTGAACCAGTGTACCCGTGCGCTACGCACTGGGAAATCTACCCAAGGGTCCCCACTGGGAAGCGGAACTTGACGGACGGCCTTGGTAGTGAAGAGGAGAGCCGTGGTTTGGGGCAGCTGAAGAGGACTGGGGCCTGCCATCGGTCGCCATGCGTCGCTGAACCCACCAGACACAGGAAGCAGGTGGACCCAAGCAGGCAAGACCGGCGGCTGGAGTTCAATGAAACTCACCATGAATCCAACTGAGCTGAACTTCCACCATCACCAGAAAGGGCTAGGGACCAGGCCGCTGCATGCTCTGGTCACACCGGGAGGGTCTGGCCACCTGGGGGAGAGGAGGGCCAGCCCCGGAGGAGCCACTCATTGGCCTTCTCCTCTTTGGGCAAAAGAGAAGAAGAGGTCTGTGGTGCCGTAGATGTCTCAGTGCCTTCTTTAGGAATTCTATCTTAAGCACACTCTTAAGGGGAAAGAAAACGGAGAGAGAACACTTGTTCCCGGGAGGCCCCTGTCTCTAGAAAGATCGGGCACCAAGAGGGAAGAAGAAGAAGGGAGAGCGACAGAATCCTGAGGAGCCCTGTCCTTCCGACCGCTCAGCCTGCCCCCACGGCGGCTGGTGACACAAACTCCTTCCTGCGGTTCCCCAGTGTCCTCCGTGTCTCGGGACCCACAGCCTCGTCTCTGCCTTCCTCCTGATACGACCCGCTTTTCTAAGGGAAAACGAAACAGTGTTCTCTTCTGTAAAACGGAAATGTGCTGTTGATATTTGTAACATTGTATATTTCTGTCCTGCTCCGAGGTGACTGGGATGTCTAGTCCATGAACAAGCAGATGTTTAAAATTCACCACCGACGAGGGTCTCTGAAGCCAGATCCCCAGACCCCCACCCGCTTCCTCCCTCATTTCTCTGCCGACTAGACTCAAGCACCGTAGCCCCAGGTTTTCCAGCCTCCGTCAAAGGTGGCCACAGCAAAAGTTCCTCGCCTTCGGGGAGTTTAAAACGATTGTTTTTTGTAACTTCAAACTTGGCAGAAGAAAGAAGGGGCATTCCTGAATCCCCAGAAGGACAAGAAAGCTCCCAACCCCAAGCGGGTGTTTCCTCACCTGCCACCGCTTATGTGACTTTCATGTCACCCAGCGGGATGACCCAAACCAGCCCTGGCCACATCCAGAAATAAGAGTCAACCTCGGCGCACCTTCGTGGTTCTCCTGGCTCTAAAAGCATCTGATGTGTGACTACGTCACAGAATGACCACGCATCTCAGAGTAGTCTATTTTTCTGTTCAGATAAAAAAATATATATATGTATATGTATTTTTAGCAAATTTATAATAGGGCAATTGAGTCTAATTTCTTCTTTTGCAATACAGAGTGGTATCTTAGGAGTCTCATGGTTGGATATTATCCTAGCTGATATTTTCTGATCTTTTTTCATTTCCTCCCAGAGTCCTTTGGGCTTTTTTCTTTTCTTCCCGTGGATGCTGATTCTCTGGAGGTGGGAAGACTTGGGGTCTGACTTCCTGCCTGTAGGCCTTTCCGGGCACTAGGAAATGTCTGTCTCTTACCTCATTCCATCTTTGTGTTTCTCCTACTCGTTGTTCTCTAGAACCCAGGGCTCAGATGCAGGAGCGAGAGGAGGGGAGTCGGTAACATTGACCCTCAAAGTCAGCCCTGAGCTGACTCAGGGCTGAGCTCCTACCCCCCACCCTCCAGGAATCTGAAAGGTCTATTTTTTTCCTCCCCCCAAATCTTGGAACCAAAAGCCTCATGCAAGCAAACTCGTCCCTGGCTTCTCTGAGGTCCAGACCACTCCCAAGTCCATCTCGGTCAGACTGCTCCCACGACCAGTGTCCAGCTCCCGGTACCACCAACCAGACCTGAAGACCAGAGCGTGTTCAGGTTTCTCTGAACCACAGAAAACCATGCTGGGCCCCAGATCTCCTCCACTTTGTATCAGCCCCTCATTTCAATCCACTTCTAACTGAGAAACAGTGGTCACACACCCTTGCAGCCAAGAGATGAGAAGAGATGGCCCCCA